GATCAATATTGTCCCTAAATTGAATAATTCGGACCCAAAATAGATTTTCAAAACTACATGTATACTTTATTATACCAAATTAACATTTTGCAGACGATATATAGTTTGCTTTAAAATTTAGTTCATATTTTTAATAAAAAAAAAGATTAAAAAAGTTTTTAATCTATAATTGCTAAATATTTTTGATAAATACATATATTCTAGATATACATGTACATGTATTTTGTTAAGCTGTTCTTGTAAATTTAATTGCACACCTTTGAAACTTTTAAATTTAATCCACAATAATTATAATGAATGATAACATTGAACATTGAAAAGCATGCCTGAATGCGTGCATTTATTCAACCTGATAACCAAACAGTAAAGAGCAGTCATTTAACAAAGAATTATTAGCTGTGAAAAAAAAAACCCTTATTGTTGTAGTTTGGTCGCTCCCATGACTTGTTTTTCAATTTTAGTGAACAAAACATAACAGCTTAACAAAATAATGTATATCTAGACTTTCCCACGTGAGAATAAGAATCTACATGATATGCTCTACTGTTAAAGGTTATTGCAACATATTCAAAGTCGTTTTTTGAGTTTTCTTTTGGGGGGGGGGGGGGGGGGGGGGAATCCCGGGATCGCCTATAGAAAAGCCCGGATCCGGGATCGTATTAAACATAGAGTAATCACGGGAATTGACCACCTGCTATCGGTGTGATCGATAAATTATCGATTATCCCATGCCTTTTGTCAAGGATATGCTTGTGATATGAAATGCTGACAGGTTTAATGTTGTTTATTTACTTTTTTAGTCTTGATGGCTATGATATATTTTTGTAATTTAATGATTTTCGCGCATACATACGTACAATACTGTACAACAAATGTCTGGGGACAACACTTTGTTTTTTTATGATAGAAGTTTAATATAAACACATAATAATAATGAGTAATAAGAAAAAGTAAATGCCAATTGGTAAAAAAAATCATTTATTGAAATATACATGCATTTTATACATGTATTTTTAAATGTATTAAATATACATGTATTTTCATATAACAGTAATGCAGGTGTCATTGGTAAATTATCGATTAGATCTAACCCCTGCATTTTTACAGAGATGTGCAATGTTATGTCAGATTTCTACAAGGAATTGTAAAGAAGAATTGTGTTTATTTTTTTCCTGACGGAGTTGGTTTTATTGTTGCGATGATTTCGAGATATTTGACTAAGATGACACGTGCCCTTTTACAATATTAGAGTAGAGACATCTGTCTGGTGAAACGAAGTGTGAATGCTACGTGTCATACATGTCAAGAGTGTTTTTGGTTATAACTGATGTTAAGTATATCTTATGATATTTTCTAAAAATAATATTAGGCAAATATATGTCACAGGGTGAGGAAAATGTGCAGCCTGACCGGGACTCGAACCGGGACCTCGGAATACCGTTCCGCGGCTCTACCGACTGAGCTATCCGGCCGCTTACACATCTTCTCCCTACATAGTGAACAGTTCTGAACCGTGACATACTCCCCTGCTATTTTGAAATTCGTCCTCGAATTTCACAGAGTTACAGAGCAATGTGAATTAAACTCTGAGCTGTATTCAGTCACGGTCCCCCGTTGGGCGCCAAATGTCACAGGGTGAGGAAAATGTGCAGCCTGACCGGGACTCGAACCCGGGACCCTCGGAATACCGTTCCGCGGCTCTACCGACTGAGCTATCCGGCCGCTTACACATCTTCTCCCCTACATAGTGAACAGTTCTGAACCGTGACATATAAGTATTGTGATTTCCGCATTTTAAGTATATTAAATATATTTATATCTTAAGTAAAAATAATTACCGGTCATTAAATACAATAAAAACAAAAAGTTAACGTTTAATCGCCTTTCATTACGGGAAAAACCAACAAAAATATAGTTTATTAGTTTTCCCTACTGTATATATCTAATACTATCCCGGATCCCGGGATTTCCCCCCACCGTTTTCTTTAGTGATTCTTATTATCTCTATTTTATCGCCACATCAGTGTTGTTTGTGCCGTGTGGAGACTGTAAAAAGTCGGCCCGTACATTCAATGAGAGATATTATTGTTTTCTCGTTTAGGGCACACGTTTTTTTTTTAATTGGGGACCATACGCCGCATTTCATGGAATGGCACTAACGTGTCACATTGAAGGTTCCATGGAACAGTTCTGCCGATGTTTTCTAAATTCAAATGTTACCATTTCATGTTTAAATGATGAATTCTGCTTAAACCGTGCTAGGGAAGTGGACAGTAACTTAATCAGCCATCAAACCGTGCCTGCATCTTCTTTCATTTTTTCGTTTTGGGATTTCTTTTAGGGGTTCTTATTTTCTCTCTTTTATCTGGGACATACGATAAGTTATCGTATATCCAGCTTTTATAGACAAATATTTTCTTCCACTTTATACATAAACTGTAAAGATTATAATTGTGATAGATAAATATGGATATACAGTAATATATCCTTTCTCTCTAACGGCACTTAAACAACTTTAACGTTGATGCGGCATTTTAAAAATGTACATACACCGTATAAATTTATCTTGTGAAAATTAAAAATAAATTAATAAAAGACCACTGCAGTTTTTTTGTTGTTGTTGTTGTTGTTGATGTTTTTTTTTAACGGAAAACTGTGGAAAACTTCAGATAGTTAGTGGGCAGAAATCTGTTGTTGTTTCCGTAATGGCCCAACGTGTGTATTTACAATGCTCAATCGATTATTATTTGACTATTTTTCGTTGTATTACATGAATGAGCCGATGTCTACATTAGGTTCTTTCTGTCGCGTTTTAGACCGCGCCATAGCAGGTGCTTGCGAAAATCTGACAGGTGTGTATTTTCTTCCGTGAGATTTTTTTCATGACTAAACCATAAATGTGGTTTAAACTATGCATTGCACGTTGTTAATCTTGTCATATTTCAATGGTTTGCCACTTATAAATATGTAGGCATCTACAAGGTATATTACGCATGACTTAGAATAATAGTGTATACAGTACCCGGACAAGAGGTGACTATCCGAAATGTCTCTTGGTATTGTTATGACTTATTTATGGGCCAGCCGCTGTGGTCTATTTGTTAAGAAATATCATAATTTTATTGATCTGATGTGTATCTTTCTACTAATTCCTAGTCCAACTTCCAGCTAGGTGTATGGATTCAGTACTTGTGATTCACAAATCAAAACACCACTGACTGATGGATATTCATACTTGATTTTTCATTTTGATTTGTGTTTTATTGGAGTACGCAGATACATGTACTCACCCAAGCCGTACTTGCAGGGTCTCTACACAGTGTTGTAAAACAGTAATTCCTGAAAAAATGTACTGTTTAAACAATATATTATATATAATACTATTTGTATAGCAATAAATTAGCATGGGACTCTGTATTATCGGCGTACTTAACTTTTCCTATATGTCTGCATTGAATTTCATGGATGAATTTAATAATCAATATTCTGTCTAAAGCAGTACAAATTCAACTAATCATTACATTTTTTATTGAATGAGGTTAAAGATTTTTAATATCAATGTATGCATGACCGCATATGACAAAATACTGAGAGTACGTCGGTAATAGAGTTGCACCGATAATACAAAGTTAGGGTATACATAGAATTCTAGAATTACTTTTTACACTATGCTTTTCTACTCATATTTTGAAATATTGCAACTGTGCCAACATATTATCAAACATACTAATGCAAATGAATTTGTGCATTTGTAAATTCAAAAACTAAAACAGTTCAAAATCTTTAAGTTACTTTTTTAAACAACCTTTTAAAGAACAGAGCATCGAAACATGTCAACTACAACCAATTTTCCCAGCTGGAGGCTTACTCATTGAAATAAAATCTGATTCATCCTATTACGTCATATGGATGTTAACACCACTAAATACTAGCTTATTTTCCGTCAGATCTTGTCAATATACGTTTCAAAATCTTGCATGAATTTTTATGTCAAAATAAGAACATTTTTTTTTTTGGCTAGATTATAAGTGAGTTTGACAAATTTATTTCATTTACATTCAATATTTGATGTTTTTAGGCCATCAAATGGACTGTAGGGAAAGCAGATTACACCGGTTCAACATTTGATATACATTTTGATATGATAAAATTGTCAAATCAAGTGTCAGCATACACTTGTGTAGTTTCCAGATGATGTATGTCATTGCAAGAGTGTGTAAACCAGACACTTAGAGCAGTCACAAATTGATGAGAATAAGGCATACTCCATTACTGTTTGGAGTCCCTGTGGTCCAACTATGTGTCTTTTATGTATGAGCAATATCTCATCTCTATAAATAAGATTCACACCTGCAACAAAAAGATCTACAATGTGTAGACCCTGCATGTTAAAATGTCTAAACAAGGTATTGTTAAACGGTGGCTTTCATTTTCAGTTACATGTAGTGTATTGCAAGGCCTCTTTTAGGCATAAATTGAGAAAATCATTCTATATTTTTCTTTTTTTTTTCTGTTTCAGATGGATTGCTATCTGTTATAGCAGCTTGTGCACTCATTGGTTTGCGTTTAGAGGAACAGATGGGAACATGAGAGGGTCTGTATTGTGTGGAGATTACTGTATAAGTAAAGGACAGAAGAACTGCCAACGTTACTTCTGAAAGTATCTTATCACCAGAGGCAATTGCTAAGTTTCGGTTTCTGAAAAGTTTAGATTTTATGTTTACATGGCGATTATTTAGATGAACATAATTATTTGGGATGAAACATTTGCTAATCTGAAAAAATACAGCACAACAGGGGTTTTGGGTTTACGATTGAGGTTTTTCAATGCAAGGAATCATTATATGGAAAGTATAAACTATAATATTGGGGTATTTTATGTGATTATAAGATTTGACCTTGTTCCCTATACTATGTGATCTTTTTTGTTGTGCTATGTTGAAATTAGTTGAGTTGACTCTACAGATGTGGCGATTTGCAGATGTAAGACAAAAGGATTTGACTAACTACATATGTAGGTGCTGACATTTCTACATATGAAATTAAAAAAGAAAACAGCTCATAAAATGTTATACCATTTACATAACTAACGTTATACCATTTACATAATTATTTGTAATACAAAGTTTTAAACACAAATGAAGGTTGGTATGTCATCTCATCACTCACATGCAGTTGTACGTCACTGCGAACACACGCAGGTCAAAATACATACCGTTGCTGAGCTACTTCTTCTCTCAGGACAATTCCGTCCAATCAAAACAGAGAATACAAATGGAGTGAAAATCTCGCTGGCCTCCGCCAAGGAACAGATCAACTCCTCGCTGAGTATCGTCATGGAGATTGTAACGGATATAACGAAAATGATGAGTGACATGAAGTCGCGCTGGAAGGTTATGTGTGATATGTTATACCGGCTATCAGATGCTGTGACAGTACTAATCGAGTTATGTTATTTTGTTAGTTTCCAGTATCTAGGTGCAGGAAAATCGATAGCACTGAAGACGTGTTAGTCGATAAATATGCAGCCTCATACGCAGGTTTAGAGATTAGATTAAGTTGCGTCCAGTTAAAACGGGCTCGTCTTGACGAACTGACTGCTACTTTTATTATGGATATATGTTCTAATATATCAAAATACATATCAGTATTGACAGATAATTGCCGTGGCGCGAGCGAGTCGGCATCAGACACGGCAACTAGGGATCAGTTCAAATTAGGAATCAAAAGTGTCACATGCGCAGCTGGGAGTTTGATTGCCAGTATTAAATCGTACAAGAGTGATAGGTCAGCGAGACATCATTCACGAGTAGTGACTTTCTGTGAGCCGGTCCTTGCAGGTAATGACTTGTGTTGTTGTATGTTGATGTTCAAGTGTAACTTGTGAAGAATTTGACCTATGATTTTGTCATCAATACAGTATATCAGGTTAATTTTGCATAAGACAAATTTTTCGATTTGTTCACACTTATTCTGTTGTCTCAGCTTATTGTTAAGCTGCCTAGCTTATTGTTAAGCTGCCTATGTTTGTATACTATATCTATTTGCAAGGTGTAAATTATCTTATATTTTATTGTACAATGTCTCTACAATCAGTTTACAAACAAATAAACATGTGTTACTAAAGCATTATTGATGCATTTTTTAGATTCTTTAGACTTTTAATGCGAACTAACCTAATATTGAATATTGGTAATTGATACATTAATATATATAATAGTATCACAATGTAAAATGTATATGACTTACTAGTAACTTAGAAGCAAATTTAAAATAGGGAGTCAAGTTATAGAAAACAAGAGAATTCCCAGAATTTTAAATTGAATCCATTTTTCGCAATATTCAGTGCACACCAAAATTAGATACTCGTGAAAAAATCCTGATATACCGTGTTTGTGACTTGCTGTAAGGTACATGTACATCTATAAGGGATGGTGATAACATCAAGTTGCATATATAAATATATTACTACATTTAAAACACCATTTGTGTGAACTTGGAAATAGCATCATAACTATGTCATTAAAACAGTTAATTTTTCATGCAATATTACTGATCTTGATCCGACTATCGTCTAATACCCATGGTTGATTAGCATGTTACATAAATGTTTATGGTTCGGCCCTGGGTATCCGACGATGTGATCAGACTTTACCTTACAACATGTGGTGACTGTGACAATAGTGTTTACAATTAAATTTAATTATGAATTAAATCAATATGATTATTTTAATAAAAGTTTGAAATACATACACCTAAAAAGCTAGCAACACACCCTAAATATGGGGGAAATGATTGCTGCAGCTTTGGGGGGGTAAGGGTTGGGGCTTTGAAAGAGAGGACTGGATCTTCAACACAGGCAATTTTGAAAAACATCACTGCCAACTACAAATGAGCCCCGTCATGACAAAACCAACATAATGGGTTTGCGACCAGCATGGATCCAGACCAGCCTGCGCATCCGCACAGTCTGATCAGGATCCATGCTGTTTGCTTACAAACCATAAAGCAAGTAGAGAAACTGATAGCGAACAGCATGGATCATCAGACTGCGCGGATGTGCAGGCTGGTCTGGATCCTTGCTGGTCGCAAACGCACAATGTTGGTTTTGTCATGACGCGGCTCAAATGTGGTGTGAAATACATGTAATGCATGTAAATTTGTTGTACATTTTAGCAAGTCATGCCCTAGTATGTCTAGCTACAGAGGAAGAGTTTGTTGACCGAGGGCTGGATCTTACACATGATGAACAAGAAATACAGAAATCTGTCTTTGGTATACTTATTTCTATATTCTTTCTTAATGTTGTAATCCTTGAAAAATTTGAAAAGCACATTTTTGCCCTAGATATTAAAAAATATTTTCCTTCATTAAAAATAGTTTGATATTGTTTTAATATAGACTTACCATGTTTGATGCTTATCACCTGAAGATGAAAATTATTTGTCTTAAAAGTTGCAAAATGTAAATAAATACTGTTTACATTTTCAAACAAATCTGTAGTCCTATAAATATGACGTCGCTTTGAGATATTTTTGCTTCTGGGCAAAGCAACGTCATATCGAAATTGCTCAAAAACCCATAGCATGTTCCGCCAGAAAATCGGGCGGAACGAAAAACAATGAAGACAGCGTGTATTTACATATTTTTTGACCTATTTATGAACAAAACTAAAAAATAAATACCTTTTGTCAAAATAATTAAACTGTCACATCCGAAAAATCATGATTAAATCCTCTCATGTATTTCAATTCCTTTTACAGCCGATAAACAAATGGCGGCCGTAAAGTGCGCGAAATCTGATTGGCTAATTCAAATGCAAGCGTTTAACTGAGTCAGAACAAATTAACGGAATATTTTTTTAACGAAATAATTGCCCATGCACCGTCAGTGTGTTCGAATATATTTTTCCGTTCAAAAATTTGGAATCAATCTGTAAAGCACCTTGCTTAACCAGTATGGCTGGTAGACAAAAATAGATTGATGTTTATATTTTATTTTAAATTGATAAGTACATCGTTTGACAGTTTTTGTGTATGATTGAGCATGAAATTGAAAGAAAATATGATAAGCTTTTGAATAAAGCTTGAAAGGCAGGACAATAGACATTTTTGGAATTTTTTATGATGCTATGCGTTTTTGAGCAATAACTATGGACTTCCTCCACCATTGAACCTGAAAAGTCACCATATGACCTATATAGTGTTGGTGTGACATAAAACCCAACTTAAGAAAACATTTTCTTGGGAATTAACAAAGGGTCTTTATCCTCAATCTGCTGAAATTTTTCTTTGACCACACTTTAAGGCTTGAGCATATTTTGATGTTTTGTCCATCTGTCTGTCTGTCTGTTTATCTTGTAATCCTTGTTCGGTCAATGATACATAAGTATGTTACGGAAGTGGTTTATGTCACTTTGTTAGGACATTGCCCATGTCTAAAAGATGACCACTTTTGGTTTTAAAATCATTAGATTAAAGGTTGTATTCATTGACTTTGCGTTAAATTGTTGCCCGATCAATAACCTGAAAAAGAATATGCTTGTAAAGCGTAGTAGAAATTGCCAAGGGTCGTTTATATTGACGACAAATTCAAATGTGACCCCCAGTTTTGGGTATTCAAATGTGTATGGCTTTGAACTTGAGAACCAGTCTGGCTATAGTCAGAGCCATTCAGTAATATGTTCGTTCCCATATTTAAAGCGCGGGGCATTTGAATACCGCAAAGCTGGGAGCCACATTCGTATTTGTCAAAAGATTTTATAAAAGGAGTGAAATTGCGATAGTTTTAATGTCAGGACACACAGTGTATTTCTCTTTATTATTATTATTATTATTTTTCAGGTCCATGTATGAATATTGTTTCTGGATGTGTTCAGATGTGCAAGACTCTTCGAGACTTTGCCCATGACACCAACAACACTCACTACCTTCATAAGGCGAAATCTTGCCAGCACTCTGTTGCCAAATCCACCGGTTTGCTGAAACATGCCCTTCAAAACCATCTCAAAATGGACTTCCATATAAGAAGTGCTAGTCCAATTAGGGGAGATAACAGATACCAGCCTCAATCTGAAGAATCTGAAGCTTTGCATGAGCTGCACAGAGAGTCGTCTCCCTTTGATAGGAAATCTCCACAGCCAACTGAAAGTCACAGAGATTTGTCTCCCTTCAATAGATCTTCTCCTCAGGAGTTATCACGAGATTTGTCTCCCTTTAATAGATCTTCTCCACAAGAATTACCACGAGATTTGTCTCCCTTTAGGAGCTCTCCACAGCCACTAGAGAATCATGGGAGGAATGACCTTTCACCAAGGTCAACTGTAGCCTCATCAGATATATCTTTCACAAATAGTTCTGTGTCTAGATGATTAGATTATATATAATTAGTAATTTTAGTAGCAAAATAAGGGGTATACATAACAGTCAAAATTCCTGTAGAAATGTTTAAAAAAAATATTTCTAAAACTTTGTATAAAAAAAACAAACCGTAATGTTTCCAATAAGCTCCCTTTGAAGAATAAGCAATTTTTCTAAAGGGCAGGAAGAGATACATGTACGTTATATACCATATTACAGGAAAGCTGTTTATTTTAGATACATTTGTCATAAATATCTACTGACTAGCTCAGTCTGGTTTGATCCTTGGGCTAGGAGAAATTTCTCTCCATCTTTTGATTTGAGTCATCAAGTGTAACTCATTGCTTGGTCTCATACCATTCAGAAATCATGTGAATTAAGGAGACAGTCACTTGCAAAGAAATTGGTAATTACTGGTACATTATCAAGGAAACCTGTTTATGTTGACTGATTGACCAGTTTTTGTCCAAAAATGTGTTTACATGGGCGTAAAAATCAGTAAAATATGCATTGATGTGTGTGTGATGTTAAAATGATAAGTTTTGTTGGCTATATGTCTTGATTTTATGTTTCAAGACAGCCATGCCTGATGTTTAATACTCTGGTTTAATAAAACAGATCTTTAATTTGGATTTAAGATAACTTTTCATTTACTGAGAGAAAAAAATGCTATCTTTTAATGCTAGATTTTCTTCAGGGACTTTTTCCAGGGACGCTGATTAGATACAAGTTCCTTACTGGATGGGTTGTTTATTGGAAACAATACAGTATGTAAATATGTGTTGATATCTTAGTATAAATGGTATAGATTAACACTGATGCATGTATTATAATAGAAGAATGATAAATATATAGGATTATTCCCTGTAAATGCTATAAAGTAATTTGATGTGAAAGTAATTATTTTGTTAGGTCTTTTTTTTCTTCAGTTGTCTATTTAGTTAAACTATAGTTTCAGGAAATTATGATTGAATTTAGATTTTCATTAAAAGTATATATTAAACCACCTTAGTGCAATAACAGAAAAAGTTTTTTGTTAATTTAATAGGAGGTAATCAGTTATTACACTGAGGTGATGATTTATTATGAATACCCATAATGTTTTTATGATGCAGCTATAAATGTATTTGATATAAATACATGACTGTATAGATTTTAGGATGAAAATGGAATTTCTAAAAATAAAATTGAATTTTAGGATAAAAATAAAAATTATATCATAAATTCAGGTATAAGTAGACTTTTGAGGTTATAAATTTAATATTTATTTGAATATTATTGAAAGCAAAACATTTCAATATCTGGGATGATAAAAATAGAGTTTCTAGGCTATAAATAAAATGATGTGACATTTTGTTATTTTATAAACGTCAATTTTTTCTGAAGAAGGCTAAACATTGCAAGCTAAAATTTCATTGAACTGATTATATAGGATATAAATAGAATTTTTATGATAAAAATAGAATTTCTAGGATATAAATAGATTAGAAAATAAAGTG